CCCCTCCCTCCCGGCCGCCGAGCCCCCGGGCTCCCCGCGCCCGGAGTGCCCGGCGCCTCCCGCGCGCCCCGGACCTCGAGCGCGAGCAGCGGCGGCCGCCGAAGCGCGGGGTGGTGCCCGCAGCGGCAGCGGCGGCGGCGGCGGGACCGCGGGGCAGGAGGAGGCGGGGAAGATGGACCCGGCGCCCTCGCTGGGCTGCAGCCTCAAGGATGTGAAGTGGAGCTCGGTGGCCGTTCCGCTCGACCTGCTGGTCAGCACTTACCGGCTGCCCCAGATCGCGCGGCTGGACAGCGGTGAGTCCCCGCCGGGCCGCCGGCGCAGGGCAGACGGGCGCGGACCGCAGTGTGGGCGCGGGTGCCCGGGAGGGTGGGACCGGGCGGGGAGTGGGCTGCCCGCCCCCCAGCCGCTGGAGTTGGCCCGAGCGGCTGCCGCAGCCCTGGCGCGGCGCTCTCAACTCCCTCCAGCAGCAGCTAGAGATGTGGAAATCAGAGCCCTTGCAGTATAAATTAAAAAGACGCCTTAAAAAAACCTACATAGGGGAAACCTCTGCAGATCGTCATCTTGGGAGCAAGCTGTCCCTCCCACCCGCCTGCAAGCATTACTCAACCTGGGAAACCCTGAAGAGTTATCTTAGGCAACTTTCTTACAAAATAAATGTGCTTTGAGTGGCATCTGTATTTTGGATGCTTTCTCCCCCTCCCCCCAAGAAGCAGCCAATTTAAGAGGAAAAAAAGCTCCTGGTGACCAATGAAAGGGATCACATTTCTCAGAAACCTTTTATTACAGCTTGTCTGTTTTGTTTACCCGAACTGAAAGTAATTTAGGGCTGTGTGTAGAAAATGTTTTTAGCAGAAGTGATGATATGCTTAAAGCTAATTATTATCTTAGCGCAATTCCAGCCTGGAAAAAATTTAAGTCACCAAAACCTGTATTGACTTGGAACCTGAGCTCACAACTAAGAAGTACTTGTAGGTACTTCCTGAAACTGACCACCAGAAACTAACCAAACATTCCCCAGCTGTTTGTTCTGCAGTGTGACATCTGCAAACAAGTAGATGTGCGTACTCAAGCAAGCAGACATCTTCCAGTTTGAGAGTTGTGACATGTAAGGTGGCAATTTAGGTGTGTTTTGCCTTCTCTTGTGTTTTCACAATAACTTCAGTTGATTTTGGCTTCGTATGGTTTCCGACTATTTGCAGAAAGAAGCTTGTTGTGCTGTGGGGCTGCTCAAAGCACCTGGGCCCAGGCTGGCAGGCAGGCAGATAGATAGAGCTCTGGTCACACAGGCCAAGTCAGAAGAGCACTGAGCAGAAAGATGTCATTTCAAGTCACAAGGACTTACTTGGGTTACTTCTTTTCTGGAGTACAAGAGTGTGTAACATGAGATGTATAAATGTCCAAAGGCATTTTTATTCTGTTTCTTATCTGTGAGGTTAGATTAGACCTTCAAAATACTGATGTGAAAAATAAATGCAGGAAAGTTCATGAAAGCTAGAAAACAGTCTTGGCATACTTGTTAGTCTTGTTTAGGAGGTGGTGGTAGTGGTGGGCATTAGGAATAAACTAGGAGTTTTAAAACTAGTAATGAAGCGCAGATGAATCCAGGAAAAGCTAGGTGGTGTTTTGAGGCATTTCTGCTTAGAGTGAGGGTGGGAAAGCGTTTTGTGCTTTAAATATATATCTGCAGATTTGAATCTCTGTGTGTGTGTGTGTGTGTATTCATGTGTATTCAGTGTTTCATTTCCTCTTTCACTGTGCAGAATTGTGTATATTGGAAGGCTATGAGTCCTCACCTTTTCCGACCTCTCATCTCTGCACTCTCCACCAAAACTTCTTAGCTAGACAGAGCTTTGATACATATGGTATAAAAGTCACTTAAGCACTTCATTAAACTGAAAGTTTAAAGAGGCTGAATATCAGTTGCAGACATAACTTTTAGCTTTGTTACCCACTTTCCTATCCCTGCCATTCATAAAAAGGATCTGAATCAGCAGTGTACTCATCCCACACTTCTTTTTAAAATTAGGACGTGGGTAGCAAGTCTTAACACTGTGTCCTTTCAAGCTGTGGAATGGATTTTGATCACTATGTGTAATTCCAATTCTTTATTGTAAATATTCTCTTATTACCGCTTGAGAATCACAGTGGCACACACAAATTTGGCATCATAGCCAAATACTGCTTTAAACCTTGCTTCTGTAACCTAGTAACCCATCATATTTAAATATGTATATATATATATTATATATATACATATTTGTTTTTAATAGCTGCATAATATTCAATGGGATGGCTGTCCCATGTGTTATAGCCCTGTATGGTAATCCTCAAGCTGCTTCATTTTTTATTGTAAGTTGTGATATGATGAACACTCTTATACATAAATCTGTTCGTTTGGGTTAGGCTATGTTCCTGCCTTGCTGAATAAGCATGTGACTCCTTTATAAGTCCTTGATACATACACATTGTCAAATTGATTTGGAGACTAAAGGTAGTAGGTGGTACTCATTTATATTCATATGAGAATTGTGGGTGTACCACTGTCCCCACAGTCTTACAGTATTAAATATCTTAAAAACAAACACAAACAAAAAACTTGGCTAGTTTGATGGGGGGAAGTATTAGCTAACCAGTTAACTTTGGATAGACTTTAAAAGAGTAGATCATAGAGTTCATGCTTATTTTTAAACGTGTTTCACAGCAATGCTTTAGAACATGTTAAGGACATGCCACCATATATATAAATGCTACATGTGAAACCTCAAGTTTCGTGCAGTCTTCATCCTGTTTGTCCTTGTGCCAGTTTTAGTGCTGTAGGTACATTTTACACACACACATCCTATACTTAGACACAAAAGGTAGTCATTTTCCAAATCACTTGTTTTAAAAGAGACTAGAAAGAAATTGAAAAACATGCCACCACTTGACATTTTGCCAGGAGTAAACTATTGGCTAATTTTAAGTAATCATTAAAGAACATTAAACATCTAATTTCATAACTGCTGATTGTTGAATGCCTGCTGTGTGTGTGTGCACATTTCTATGTGCTTGGTGTACATTGCCTCAGAGCCTCAGCAGCCCCATCCTAAGAACTTGGAGACCCTGAGATTCAGAGAAATTGAATGGCATACTTGGGAAATGGTGGAGTGGGATTTCCAGCTGGCTTTCCGAAGCTAAAGACAAACCTTTTATCTCAAAGTGTACTACCTCCTCAAACTAAATGGGAGTAGGTTTAGAGTAGGTCTAACATCTGCTCTAAATAGCCCCACTGTCTCTCTGAGAGCCCAAAGACCGGAAAGTCAATATTTTTAAAACAGCGGAGACACCGAATTAAGTGCTGGCCTCATCCATCATATGTAGACAACTTTCTACTTCCCAAAGGAGTGGCTGAAAAGAGGTAAGAGGCAACGGGGAAGAAGAGAATAAGAAATCAGAGAAAGAAGGAGAAAAAGTGGAGTCTGAGGGCTTAGGGTATGTAGATGTGTCTGAGTTTATGCCTCAGTGCATTGGCTATACTTAGAATATTAACTACACAGTCAGTTAAGAACTCTCCAATTCATTGCATTATTCCTGTCACTCATGAAATGCCAGTCAGATAGATGCATCCCCAGTGGTGAAATTTGTCATCTTATGATAAGATAAATACAAAATTTGTGAGCTTTTATGGGTATTGCCTCATGAATCTTTCTGGAGAACTCAAAGAAAAGTGCTCTAGCACTTCTCCTTAGGAGTGAGATACATCTCATCAGCCAAGGTCTAACCCCAGTCAACAGTGCAGTTAAGATCAGATGCTTAAACTGATCACCAATCTTAGAAACTGTTTGCTGTAGAACCAGGTTCAGCAAATGTCTTTATGACCAAGGAGAGGGTGGAGAGAATGCTAATCCCTACTCCATCTCCACTGTCACTGAAAACAGGTAGGTGGGAAATTCATTCTGTCCTTTCTTCAGTATTTCACCTGGAAAGTCTCTAGGTTTGATCTAGAGCAGTGTTCTTCCAACTCTTCTGTTCCTGTTGTTCCAAAAAGATTCTATAAAACTCTGTACCTTCAGCTAATTGCTAAAACTTTTCATCCTAAATTTAAATAATTGCAAGGATGTAATTTTTCATATTATAAATATTGACCTTTTAAATGAAATGGTTACATCAATAAAAAAAACTCTAGTAGTATCTACATTTGATTCTCAGTATCATTCATTTTTTAAAACCCATGAATAAGTTCTTCAGCAGTTAAAAATTTTACACCTTTCCTTTTTCTCCTTAAATTGATATTTCCATTTTCCTTCCGCCTACAGAATTCTATACCAATGCAATATATTTTTATGTTTAAAAGTGTCTAACCGGTCACTCTGATAGTCTTTCTGTAACAACAACAAAAATGTATGTAGATTGAAACCCAGTATTTTGTATTTCTTTTGACCAAAAGGCTCTGGTATTTAAATATTTCAGTTTGTTTCAAACAAAGAATTGGAAATTATCTGATTTACAAGAGGAGTTTTTACCCAAATCCTGGAAACTTTCACATTAGCATTTTTATGTGCTCTTTGATTGTCACCCTGAGGTCTTTACCCCCTGGCAGTATAGAAAGAGCTGGGGAAGGTAATGCAAATGCATGACTTGTAAAGTGGGTGAAGTGCTGTTGTGAACGGGAGGTGTGAAAGGCCAGCTTCCATTCATCATGGGATGGAGTCCTCTATCACAGTCGTGCTCTCAGACAGAGATCAATTTTTAGACAAGACAACACGTGGAAGTTAGGGATCTGGTGCGATGGTGAACCCCTTGAGACATGTACCTCACTTCCAAGAATGCTAGTCTGAAGCAGGGAAAGATGAGGTTTTGGCCCTGTTTGTCGAAAGGAAAAGAAGACCAAGGCATGTGGGCTAACAGGGAGAGCGAAAAAAGAAGATGGTAGGAGTTGGAGGCAGCTGTTGAGATAGATCAGCAAGGATCTCTCCTTTCTAGCTGCGTGGAGGAATCAGAGCTGATTCTAAGCCCCAGCTATGTTGGGACTGAGGGCACTTTGGTCCTAGTTTTTTGTGCTGTGGTACTTTAACTTGACCATTTAAGTACCTGGAGGGCTGAAGGAGCGGAAACATGGATACTCAGATCAAAGAGAGGCTCCGAGTGGCTGCAAATGTCAAAGGTGTTTCTAGATCCATGTTTTATCTTTGAAATTAATGTAAGTTCTCAAAATCCACTCCATGATTAATGTTATATATATATATATATATATATATATATATGTATATATGTAATTTTTTTCTAAAGTAACTTTGTGTAAATCTTGCCCCAG